CCCCACCCACCCCGTCTGCAGCAGGCCCCGCCTACCAGTGCTGGTGTTGGTGATCCCGTTCACCGTCCCTTCCACCTCCGTCTCGTCCTCCGCGTAGCTCAGCATTAAGGCTCGCTGGCGGTCCGTCAGTCTCCTGCCAGGTGCAGAAAAAGGGGTCCCGCATTGGAGGCTCTGCAGCCCTCTGGGGGAAGCCTGCGGGGCCTCGGCTAGAGAGAGAGAGACTCGAACATGGCATCCCGTCTCTCCGGGCTCCCACCCAAGCGGCTCTTTTGAAAACGAAGGGGCCTCTTACCCAATTGCTTTAGACTGTGCATGCAGAAAAGAAACGACGGCTGAGGGCTGAAATGATCGAGGTTTACAAGATTATGCATGGGACAGAGCAGGAAGAGAAAGAGGTACTTTTCTCCCCTTCTCACAAGACAAGAACTCCTTGTGGGCACTCCATGAAATTGCTGAGTGGTCGGGTTAGAACAGAGAAAAGGAAGTCCTTCTTCACCCAAAGAGTGATTAACACTTGGAATTCACAGCCACAGGAGGTGGCGGCAGCTACAGGCATGGATGGCTTCAAGAGGGAATTGGATAAACATACGGAGCAGAGGTCCCACCAGTGGCTATTAGCCACAAGGGATAGATAGGAACCAATGTTCCCTCTAAGCTGTGGAGTCCTGTGAGCGATTTGGCTGCGGCATAAAATAGTTTTCTCTGGAGCCATCCTTCCCAAGCTAAGACAAAAATGTGTGAGCCAGAGGCTATACAACTGTGAGCTGGCTCACACTAACTCAGCTTAAAGGGAACACTGATAGGGACTCTGGGGCAAGGAATGCTCTGTCTTCTTGATGCTTGGGGGGGGGGGCAACAGAGGGAGGGCTTCTAGTGTCCTGGCCCCACTGCTGGACCTCCTGATGGTATTTTTGGCCACTGTGCGACACAATGAGTGTTGGGTTGGATGGGCCACTGGCCTGATCCAACATGGGCATCTCTTATGTCCTGGAAGCGAGCGTAAGGGCTACAGGCAGAAACTTGGGGTGGGGGGTGGGGGCAGACCCCCAGGCCAAGGAATGAACAGCAGCGACAAGATAGGTGCTCATGGCAGAAATCCCAGAGCTTCTAGAGAGCCAGTTTGGTGTCGTGGTTAAGTGTTCAGACTCTAATCTGGGAGAACCGGGTTTGATTCCCCACTCCTCCTTCACTTGCTCCTGGCTGGGTGACCTTGGGCTAGCCGTAGTTCTGTTAGAGCTGTCCTTGAAAAGGAGCAGTTTCTGTCAAGATCTCTCTCAGCCCCGCCTCCCTCACAGGGTGTCTGTTGTGGGGAGGGGGAGGGAAAGGAGTTTGTAAGCCGCTCTGAGACTCCCTTGGGTAGTGAAGGGCCATGGGGTATAAATCCAATCTCTTCTCTTCTTCTTCTTCTGGAACGCCCTCAGAGAAAAATCTCTGGGCATGCTCTATAAATGGCTCTCTCTGAATGTTCTCGGAGAAATGCCCCCCCCCCGGCCTTGACTTACTTGGGAATCCTGATCTTTATATGGATGTAGTGGTCTCCGTAACCGTAGCTGTTCACCCTTGAGATGCCCTTCCCGCTCATCCGGATCTTCTGGTCGGACTGGATCCCAGCGGGTATCTGGGAGGGGGACAGAAGGGAGGGGGGCCTCTTTCAACGGGCGTGTCTCCCTGCAGGACGCTTGGCGGACTTCTCCCGGGGGCTGGCCCACTCGGGAGGAGGATTGTGACAAGGGAAGAAAGTGTAGTGCTGCAAGCAGGAAAGAGTAGGGGGGGGGGGGGGGGAGATGAGAGATCTAGTCTGACTGCCTTTGGCAAGCAGGACAAGACGGGCTGACCCACACCCCCCCCCGCCGCATCAGAGTCTCTTTCCAGAAAACAGTCCCCAACAGGCCTGGATGAAGGCAGCACAAACGGCACCCAAGCCCTCCCGGAATCCCCAAATGCCCCCAGCAGCATTCGCCCAGCCTCGCTTTGCTCAGCCGGAGGAAGCGGCTTCCAGTTCTGCCGAGCCGGCCGCTGCCACCTACGGTGATGCTGATGGTCTCGTACAGACCCGGGGCCCGGGCCGTCCCCCCCAAGACCGCCTGCGCCACCGAGATGAAGAGGTCCGAATGGATGTCTGCGCCGTCTCTCCGGAACACGGGGCTCTTCTGGACCTGAGGACAAAGGACGGGCGCGGTTCTTAGGCAGGAGGTGGGGCGGGGCGGCATGGGCCACATCCCGTTTCAAAACTGAGGGCAACGGGGCAGCGGGCCGGGGGGGGGGGCGCATTACCCGGAAGGTGATGAAGATTTCCTTCTTCCCCACAGGCATTCGAACCGTCTGTCCGTCCTCCACACCTGGAACCAGACAAGAAGAAAACAGTCAGGTCTTTTGCCTGACACGACACTTGCCGACTCCTTTGCCTCGGTGGGCTGTCATCCACCCAGCTGAGTCCTGGCGCTGCCTGTTCCGCTCTGCTCAGAGGAGCAACGTTGAATTACAGTTTTTAACACTTTCTTGGCCGGGGTGGGATTGGGATTTTCATTCTGCTTGGTGTTTTAAGCCACCCTCAGCCACGGGCAAAGGCAGGATTGTAGAAGTTCCAAACAATCGATTTGCAGCTGTCCTCATCCAAGTTTGTTTGTTCACTGAAGGACAGCCGGCAGTTGAAGAAGAAGGAGGTTGGATTTATACCCAGCCCTTCACTCAGAGTCTCAGAGTGGCCTACAAACTCCTTTCCCTTCCCCTTCTCACAACAGACACCCTGTGAGGGAGGTGGGGCTGAGAGAGCTCTTTCGAGGACTACCCTTGAGAGAACAGCTCTGAAAGAACTAAGGCTTGCCCAAGGTCACACCAGCAGCTGCATGTGGAGGAATGGGGAATCAAACCCGGTCCTCCCAGATTAGAGGCCACCGCTCCTTCACCAAACTGGTGCTTCAGAAAGTGTCATGCTTAAAAGACTCTTGGCTCTTTGGTACCCAGGGACAGAACCTGCGGCATCCCTCCATGTGGTCACCAGCCACCCTCTGGCGGGCATTTTGAGAGGAGGAAGAAGAGGATTTGCTCCTTTCTGGGGGAGCGACACGGGAGGCAGACCCCTTTGTGGCTTGCAGGGACCCATCCCATGCTGGCTGAGACAGGTTCACAAGGCACAAAGCCGCCTCCCAGGAGGGGAGAAGAGGCCGCAGGAGCAGAGGACGTGCTTCCAGGAGCGGCCTGCTTGCCAACCCACTCCGCCCGAGGGCGGGCGGCCCTCCCCGATGCGTTCCGCAGGGCATGGCTGCCCCCTCCTCACTCCGACCCGGCCAGGCTGCTCAGCTGCACGGCGGCCGCCACGGCTCCACAGGAAGCGGCCCACCCACACTGACTGACCTGCTGGGACCGGGACCATCACCGACTTCTTCTGCTTGGTCTGTCCGGTGCCTCGGCATAACCCGCAGGGGGTCGTCATGACGGAGCCCCGCCCCCCACACCTCCGGCATGTCGAGCGCATCACAAAGGGGCCGGTGTTGATCGTCTCCTGGGGGGGGGGGGACAAACAGGGGCTGAGTCACCATCTCTGGGACACATTTTTCTTCAACCAGATACAACAACAACAACAAATTTATTCACCGCGAAAAGCCAGCACTCTGATACAACCAACTAACTCAAACTAAATTCGTACAACCACAAGCATACATGAAATATATAAAATGAGTATCAAATAGAGCATGCATGTAAAACCTGTTAAGTCCTGTAACAAATCACATCTATTCGTCTTTCACTAGGAGCTTTCTAGTCCTTACAGCTAACCAGCCAAATCTGGCAAGCTTAGCAGTAACCTTGGGGCACCTACTTTCTAGGAGGTTCTTCAGCAATTGCATCTTTTGACTGGCTGAGGATAGAGCAGTTGTAGAGAGTGGGAGAATATCACGAAAGTGGCTGTATGCCCTGCAGTCATATATAACATGCATTAAGGTTTCAATTCCGTCTTCAGCCAGATACGGTTTCTTCCACATCTGCTGAGCCCCGGGAGCCCCATTCCCAAAGGCAGAGACCCCTCTGCGGCAAGCGAGGAGAAGAGGTTCTCCGAGTCCCGGCAGAAGCTCCGGAGCAGAGCGGGGGCTTCTCGGGGGCTGCCCCCTCTTGGCTTACCATGCCGGTGCCGTTGCAGTAGTGGCAGTGCTGCACTTTGGTGCCCGGCTCGTGGCCTTGGCCGTCACAGCGCTGGCAGGCGTCGCTGATGTTCACCACCATCTCCTTGTTCACGCCCTTGGCCGCCTGCGTGAACGTCAGCTCCATGATGTACTGGGGGGGGGGGGGGGGACAGGGGGCCCCCGGCTCAGGCCACAGCCCTTCACGATGACCCACCCGTTTACACCCACGGGGAAGCACAGAGCGGGAGACGCCCTGTTTCTAGGGCCACGCCTGGCCACATTCACAGAGGGGGGCAGAAGAGGGCGTTGCGCCAGCGGGCCTTGGACAAAAAAGGGGAAGAGCCAGCAGCTGCAGCATCCCATGAACAAAAGCCCGCCCTCCCCCCTCTCCTCTCCTGCCCCGAAATTTGGCATCATTTCACCTCACAAGCAGCAAAATCGGCGTCTGAGTTAAAGCGTTCCCAACTAGCTGGCGAGGGTAGACCTGCTACACCGTTTCTCAACAGGTGCTGGTTTCTAAAGCCGTTTACCGTGAGAAAGTTTGGGCTTGGACGGTGCTGAGCTCATCCCGTGCCTGCCAACCCTAACTCCTGCAAACCTGCCTGCCCTCCCCCCCCCCCCCCCCCCATCAGGGCTCATGTCTCCTTTCAGAGACCGGCGGGCTGAAAGGGAAAATAGCCTGAAGTCGCAGGAGTGGAGAAGGTGTCCCAGGGAATGAGCTGTGGGCAGGCGAAATCTCTGAACCCCCGAGACCCCTTGGCGAAGGCTTCCCCCGCCCGGCCTCTACATAATGAGGAACTCCCCAGGGGAGGCTGCTACAGGTCCTGCCCTCGGAACAGACTCCGCAGAGACGGAGGGCTCCCAGACAGTCAACGCTCACCTCCTGCGGCTGGTCAAAGACCGTGTGGAAGTCTCCAAAGGGGGACCCGGAAAACTCCCCAAAGATCTTCCGGAAGAGCTCTTCGGGGTCCACGGTGGGCCCCCTCCCCCAGTACTGATGCCCGGCCCCCGCAGAGCCAGGGTCGAAGCCGGCCGTGCCGTAGGTGTCGTACTGCTTCCGCTTCACCTCGTCGCTCAGGACCTGCAAGGAAGTCCCCGGGGTCACGGCTTTCCTGTCTCCACTGCTTCCCCGTGAAGCGGCCCAGCCAGGGGGCCTGCTCCAGAACGAGCCCCCCCCCCCAGGACACCAAGGAGCTCCCCCCCCTTACCTCGTAGGCCTCCGCCAGCTGGGAGAACTTCTCCTTTGCCTTCGGGTCCTCCTTGTTGGTATCTGGGTGGTACTTCTTGGCAAGCTAGGAAAAAAAAGGCTCACTGGGGCACGGAGGCTTATGGGGGGGGGGTTTACTTTACGTTCACTGTCCAGAGGTGCAATCCAGATTAGAATACAAAGACAAAACTCACAGTTCTGTACAACAGTCACATCACATAAGAACGTAAGAGAAGCCGATGTTGGATCAGGCCAATGGCCCATCCAGTCCAACACCCTGTGTCACTCGGTGGCCAGAAATACCAGGTGCCCTCAGGAGGTCCAGCAGTGGGGCCAGGACACTAGGAGCCCTCCCACGGTTGCCCCCCCCCAGCACCAGGAATACAGGCCATCCCTTGCCCCAGACCGAGAGTTCCTATCTACACCGTGTGCCCCAGACATAAGAACAAAAGAGAAGCCAATGTTGGATCAGGCCAATGGCCCATCCAGTCCAACACCCTGTGTCACTCGGTGGCCAGAAATACCAGGTGCCATCAGGAGGTCCAGAAGTGGGACCCCACCAGCCCCCCGCCGGGCTCCCCCCCCCCCCCCAGCACCAAGAATACAGACCATCCCTTGCCCCAGACTGAGAGTTCCTATCTATATACCTTGTGGCTAATAGCCACTGATGGACCTCTGCTCCATATGTTTACCCGATTCCTTCTTGAAGCTGTCTTAAGACAATAACTCTTCAAACAAAAGCAGCATAATCCAAAGCAAAACAATTTTAACAAAAACAGTAACTTCAAGAAGGAACCCCAAAGAAATAATATCAGGATAAGAAACATTCATTCCTCCTACACACCCAGGCCTTCCACTAATTCCTCCTCTTTCTCTCAACCTGACCAGAAGAGGCGTTTGAATCCCACACAATCCGCCCCGTCCTCTCCAACCACTCCCTTGGTGTGCTAGTTCTCTCCTTTCCACTGCCAATCAGTTCGTGATCATCTCTGTCTGCTGAAGATGTTATCCAAAAGCAACAGTACAGAGCACTGGCCTTAAGACTCTTTGAAATATCACAATGCTGTGAGCAAGCTTTTGAGTTCAACGAACCGTTCCTCAGGCTGGCTGTTAAACAAAGAAACAAAAAACTGTGTGTGTGGGGGGGGGCAATTGGGAGAGAGAAAGAGGTGAATTGCTGGGCATGAAGTCCAAACCTGCAGACGGTGGTCATTTGAAAAGGAAGCCAAGGCAGACTTCGATATATTAGGCTATCCTCCCCCCACTTTATCTCCCAGCCTAATTGTGAGACGTCAGCTCAGCACTTTCCAGTATTTTAATTGGCCCTAATAATGGCTTTGGAAGTTTTTCTATATGGACCAACACGGCTACTGGCACTTTCCGTCTGTTTTGTATAACATCTTATGTAGCTAAACTTAGAAAACAGATGGGTTTCAAGGCAGACTGATTCCAGCATTATCCTCAGTTATGTGAACTGCCTTCCCAAACATCCTTTGCATTTTCACATCCAGATCCCATAGAGTGACCAACATTCAAAAGCACCACGTTTTAGAATGAAGCGGGTCACCTGATTCATCCAGTCAACGTTACCCTAAAATCCTTAGGGAATTCAAAACGGGGGTGGGTGGAATCCTGGCTTTCCCCAGGCCTTCGCGTCTCTGGCTACTCCTCTGAGAACAACATCTGAAGCCGCTCCCAGGGTCCAGCAAGCAGACATCTCCCTTCACACCTGCCCCCCCACAGGGCCTGCGAATGCCGCCAAACCATCCTTGGCCACAGGGCAGGAGAAGCCACTCTGGTTTTACCCGGGGATATCAGGCTTTAATCCCATTGGTCACCCACAGCATGCAGAGAGCTTCCGCCTAACCCCCCCCCCCTTTCAGAGAATGAAATGACGGTTTTAAAAAATTAAAAAGCAGGAGAAGAAGAAGAAGAGAAGGAGGAGATTGGATTTATACCTCGCCCTTCACTACTCAAGGGAGTCTCAGAGCGGCTTACAGACTCCTTTTCCCTTCCCCTCCCCACAACAGATACCCTGTGAGGTAGGCGGGGCTGAGAGAGCTCCGACAGAAACTGCTCTTTTTCAAGGACAGCTCTTATCAGAACTACGGCTTGCCCAAGGTCATCCAGCAGGTGCAGGAGTGGGGAATCAAACCTGGTTCTCCCAGATTAAAGTCCACGCACTTAACCACGACACCAAACTGGCTTAACCGCAGACACCGTCTTCCCTAGCCACCAGTTTCCCAGGCAGCTTAACAGAATAATCCTCAGATGCAGATAGCTTTTCTCCTCCTCTTACAGTGAAGTTCTCTCCCACCGGGGGTAGGGTGAGGGGAGAGGATCCTACTGCAACCAGCCGAAGGCACTTGAGTGGAGCAGTCCAGGGCTCACTTCAGCACACCCAAAGCTGGGGCAGCTGCCAGAGCCTTAGGGTTCCTGCATACCTCCCTTAGCCACCGGTTTGTATGCCCCCAACTGCCCAGAGTCACTGAGGAAAGGCATGTGAAGGGTACACAGCGGGGGCACACCCAGAGACAATGGGCAGCAGCACTCCCAGCTGCATCCACTGGCCGGTGCAGATGGGGAAATGGTATGCAGGTGATGTGGTGGGAGGGTTTGCAAGCAGGAGGAAGAAAGATGGGCAGGTGGGGGCATGCAGGTGTGGGGAGGAAAGGAGGTCATGAGGGGGGCCCTGGGTAGAAAAACCTAGAACCAGCCCCAGAGCAGTCCTATTACAAATGGGAAGTCGAGGCAGAATAACAGTAGCCAGCCCCAAAAGTCTCCTGGGGAGTTCCTGGAAAGGGCATGAGCTGAACTGGGGCCTCCCCAGATCACAGCTCATTCTGTTTGAAACACTACAACAACACTCACAAACATACTTAGGCTGGTCCTGCACTGGGCAGGGGGTTGGACTAGATGGTCTGTATGCCCCCTTCCCACTCTTATGGTTCTGTGACTACACACACATATATGGATCAAGATGGGTAGCCCTGTTAGTCTGCCGGTAGCAGTAGAAAAGACCAAGAAGTCCAGTAGCACCTTAAAGACGAACAACATCTGTTGGCAGGATATGAGCTTCCATGAATCACTGAAGAAGTATCTGAAGAAGTGAGCAGTGACTCATGGAAGCTCCTCCCCTGCCACAAATGTTGTTAGTCTTTATGACACTCCTGGACTCTGGCTCTTTTCTCCTGCTATAGACAGACAAACACGGCTACCCATCTTGATCTACGCTTGATCTCTATCTACATCTTGATCTGTATTCTTTAGATATCTGAAGAAGTGAGGCTGTGACTCAGGAAAGCTCATCCCCTGCCACAAATGTTGTTAGTCTTTAACATGCTACTGGACTCTGGCTCTTTTCTACTTTTTATGCACACATGCCTATATATATTTATATATGTAAATGCACACACAGAAACAGAGACAGACAGATGCAGACACACACACACACACACACACCACCTAGACACAAAGTCAGCCGTGCTGTGCCCTCCCCACCTCGGCTGACTTTCCTATTTTAAGAACCACGACCTGGCCCAATCCTCTCCAGCTAGCCTACCTGGTAATAGGCCTTCTTGATCTCCTTCTGGCTTGCAGTTCGAGGCACTCCCAGAACCTGGTAATAATCCTCTTTGGCAGAGGCCGCAGAGCTGGTGTGAAATGAGGCAGCGTGTATGAGAGGATGAGGATGAACCCCTGCAGAAAGCAAAAAAAAAAACAGGATGAGACAACCGCCCCACAAGACCTGCGCACCGAGAGCACAACCGGCCCCTTCGAAATCCAGGCCCAGGGCTGTTGCAAGCCTCCACGAGATCCACTTGCACTGCATTTGGGTGTGCTACTCTTACAAAGTTCACACTTGAGTCAAGCATCGTTCTGCACAGCCTGAGACCACAGCGAGATAACTTGTGCCAGCAATCTCATGGCCCATGTTCATGAAGCACCCGCACCTTCAGCTACCTGGCCAGCTGTTGATGGAAATAAGCGCACAGCTCCTTTGCATAAGCTGTGGAAACTTCTCTGTGTAAACCGATACAAAGTCTGGTTTCAGAAACCTTTGCTGCCTGAACAGAAGACCAATTCATACCTTCAGATGGGTCACCATCAGTGCTCCCTCTAAGCCATGGAGTCCTGTGAGCAAAAATTCTACTTTCTGAGTGACCAGCAATGAAGTTGTGAGCAGGCGATTTGGCTACTGCATCAGTTACTCTGCTCTGGAGCCATCCTTCCAGAGAGAAGGATGTGTGAGCCAGGGGCTAAAAAACCGTGAGCTAGCTCACAGAAGTACAAGCTGGGTTTCGAAGAGGTAGAGGAACTAGAGATCAAATTGCCAACATTCGCTGGATTATGGAGAAAGCAAGAGAGTACCAGAAAAACATCTACTTCTGCTTCATTGACTATGCTAAAGCCTTTGACTGTGTGGATCACAACAAACTATGGCAGGTCCTTAAAGAGATGGGAATACCAGACTACCTCACATGTCTCTTGAGAAACCTGTATAAGGGCCAAGAAGCAACAGTTAGAACCGGATATGGAACAACTGATTGGTTTAGCATAGGAAAAGGAGTACAACAAGGATGTATATTGTCACCTTGCTTATTTAATATATATGCAGAGTACATCATGCGAAATGCTGGCCTGGATGAATCACAAGCAGGAATCAAGATTGCTGGGGAAAAGATCAACAACCTCAGATATGCAGATGATACCACTCTGATGGCAGAAAGTGAAGAGGACCTCAAGAGCCTCTTGCTCAGGGTAAAAGAGGAGAGCGCAAAAGTGGGCTTGAAGCTCAACATCAAAAAAACTAAGATCATGGCATCCGGTCCCATCACTCCTTGGCAAATAGAAGGGAAAGTCGTGGAAGTAGTGACAGACTTCACGTTCCTGGGATCCCAAATCACCGCAGACTGTGACTGCAGCCATGAAATTAAAAGACGCCTGCTCCTTGGGAGGAAAGCGATGGCGAACCTAAACAGCAAGATAAAAAGTAGAGACATCACCCTGCCAACAAAAGTCCGCATGGTCAAAGCAATGGTATTCCCAGTAGTCATGTATGGCTGCGAGAGTTGGACTATAAGGAAGGCCGAGCGCCGAAGAATAGATTCTTTTGAACTATGGTGCTGGAGAAGACTCTTGAGAGTCCCTTGGACTGCAAGAAGATCAAATCAGTCAATCCTAAAAGAAATCAACCCTGACTGTTCCCTGGAAGGCCAGATAATGAAACTGAAGCTCAAATACTTTGGCCACCAAATGAGAAGGGAGCACTCACTGGAGAAGACCCTGATGCTGGGAAAGATTGAAGGTCAAAGAAGACGGGGACGGCAAAGGATGCAACTGAACAACAAAAAAGCTCACAATAACTCAGCTTAGAGGGAACACTGGCTAACCATGTTGTTCTGAAGCAACAGAACAAAGTTTGAGTCACCTTTAAAGACCAGCAATGTTTTATTCTGGGTATAAGCTTTTGTATGCATGCACACCAGTGTTCCCTTCTAAGCTGAGTTGCTGTGAGCCAGCTCACAGTTTTTTAGTCTCCAGCTCACGCATTTTGTCTTAGCTCAGGAAAAAAGGTTCCAGAGCAAACTAATTTATGCAGGAGCCAAATTGCCTGCTCACAACCTCAATGCCGGTAACTCACAAAGTAGAATTTTTGCTCACAATTCTCTGCAGCTTAGAAGAAGAAGAAGAAGAAGAAGAAGAAGAGAGAAGAGACTGGATTTCCCCCGCCGTTCACTACCCAAAGATGTCTCAGAGCAGCTTACAAACTCCTTTCCCTTCCCCTCCCCACAACAGACACCCTGTGAGGCAGGTGGGGCTGAGAGAGCTCTTGACAGAAATGGCTCTTTTTCAAGGACAGCTCTAATCAGAACTACAGCTTGTCCAAGGTCATCCAGCCAGGTGCAAGTGGAGGACGAGTGGGGGATCAAACCCAGTTCTCCCAGATTAGAGTCTGCGCACTTCACCACTATACCAGACTGGCCCACTGAGAGGGAGCACTGATGCACGTTTGTTTTGTAGGCATGCACACGAAAGCTTATACCCAGAATGAAACGTTGCTGGTCTTAAAGGTGCCGCTGGACTCCAACTTTGACTGATACCTTTGGCTTTCTCATTCAAATAGGCTACGTGAAGAAATGCATTCTCTCCCGGAGGGAGGTTGGCAGGCCGTGGCAGACCGCCCCTCCCTATGCAAAGGCCCAAAACGGCAAAGAAGCAGCAGACACCCTCCCCCCCCCCTTCTCAGAGCAGGTTTGCTAACAACACAGGACTCCATTAAAAAAACGTCCCTTTCACTGAGGCTTCAGGGGCTGTTCTCTACCAGCTGATATCATTTTCCTCCCGGCCACGAAAAGCTTCAGCCGGTTATTTCCACACCTTACGCCTCTATTAATGGACTAGGACATTTCCTCTCCCGGGCTGTTCGGGGCCGCCTTCCCTCCTGGGCAGCCCCGTCCAGAGCTCCGCCCGCCCCCCAGAGCGGGCTTCCCGCGACAGCCGCACTCTGCACATGCCCAGAGGCACCCTCGCCCGGCGGCAGAGGACTCACCGGAGCGGCCCCCGAG